CAGCGTCCTTCTGAGACAGCAAACCACCCACTGAATATGGTCCAGCATCCGTGGATACTATGAAAGGTCTCCCGGTCTCATCGTCAAAGAATGGCACACCCAACACGCGCCCTCCTTCCTTAAATTCGTCTTGAAGTTCTTGCATTGCGAGTTCCTGCGAAGCATTCCAGTAAAATTTTTCAGTCTTTCGAAGGAGTAACCTCAATGGCTCAGCCTTCTCCGCATATCCCCGTATGAATATTCGCCAGTATCCGACTACTCCTAGAAACTGCAGGACCTCGGTTGCGCTATGTAGCGGCGACGGCCAGTTCAGAAGTTTGTCTAACTTCGTTGGGTCTGCTCGTCACCCTCTCGAGTCACATATAAACTCCAAGATCTTTATAGTTGAAACGGCCCATCGGCTCTTTGTTCCGCTAACTGTTAAATTGGCATCGTCCAGCTGCTCGAGCACTGCGGAAATATCTGTTAGATGCTGCTCGACGAATCTCCTGACTCCAGGTATGACCTCCGTCTCATCCCTGTCTACTGGCCCTTTTATAGGGAAGTCATCCAGAAAAACTTCAACCTTATCAGGGATGAAGTTCTTGAGGACATCTACCATGGTTCTCTGAAAAACGGCTATCCCATTAGTCCAACCCATAGGGACGACCATCATCTGAATTAGTCCCAATGGCGTATGCATAGCCGTGAGGTGCCTGTCCCTAGGGTCAAGCGGTACCTCATCATAGCCTGAGAACAGATCACAGACCGAATAGATCGACCTACCGGCTGCGCCTTCTGCCAATAAATCGGCGTGTGGCACGGAGCCCACGTCTCGTATCGTCACCGCGTTGACCTTCTGAAGGTCCTGGATCCATCGGATCTTGCCATTCGGCTTACGCAGGAAGAACCATCGATTTGCATAAGCACTATCAGACGGCTCCGCGACATGGGATACCATCTTCTCTTTCAGGAAAGCGATAACTTCTTCCTTCTCCTTCTGGGCATATTTCCATCCCGCGTCATTCCAGGGAACATGTGGTATCGTGTAAATCCTTGCTGGCTTAGCGTACCGAGGGTCAACCCTACCACGCTCCGCGTCACTAAAAGTTATGGCCTTATCACATGTTTTCAGGATTTCTATCACCCGTTCTCGCTCTTGTGGGGTCAAATTTCCATCTCCGATGTCCATCCCTGCTATCCTATCATCCGTCAGGCGTTGTGGTTCCTTTCTCTTCCTTTCTTTGATTTCTTTCGCGATCTCTTGTTCCAATATCCCTTCCACTGGAGATCACTCGCGGTCCACCGCCACCGGCTTAACCTTTTGAGTTACTCGCTTGTGTCGCTTAGGCGGCCCCCCGTGGGGGCCCCGTAGGGGGCCGTGCCCTTAAAAAAGACACGGATACCACACCGCCTAATTCCTCATCTTCTTCCTTTGGGTATGAGTTGCCATCCACTATTAACCGACTCCCTAAATCTTCTACCTCGACGATTCGGCCTTCTTCCTCTGTGAGCAGTGGTCCATACTCCTTCTTGCGAAATCGCACCGCGCGGCTGGAGATAGGTAAAGACCTAACCTGATCACTGGGTCTCGCACCCACAGCGAGAGCTGCTCTGTTCCTCGGGTCCTGAGGCTCCACCGTCTCAATCATCACTCGCGTCCCGTCTGGCTTCTTAATGGACAATGTCTGACTCCCGTCAGGTCGCTCTATCGTCACCGCATGCACGTGGCTTAGCCACGTCCGTCCCAAGAGCAGGTCAGAGCTGCAGTTCTTGACTGCAAAGAYAGGCAGGGTCACTCGTACCCCTTGGACTTCTATGACTGCCTTGTGACAAACCCAGTGATCTTTTGCTTTCTACCATCAGCCGTCTCTATCTCGAATAGATACGACCTATCGAGGCCCAGCCCAACCTGCACTGCCAGGTCGTCGTCTATGATAACAGCCTCACTGCCGTTATCGATCACAGCATCAAGTATCGCTCCATCGTTTATAATCATCTCCACGGCCCCACTACCAAGTATATAAAATTTGTTTGGAGGCACACCCTCCATTCCATCGAGAAGGACTGTTGCCATGCGATCCGCTCTGGCAGTCACCCCCGTCACTCCTACTGTAGAAGCTTCCGCCTTAGGGGCCCCTTGACCCTCCTCTGATAGAGGTATGCGAGTCTTGCGCGTGATCATCTGTAACTCATCGCGAGCCGGCTTCGATGCCGCCAGGTACTCCAGAATAGAGCATTGCATGGGCTGTCGAAGGGCCCTCCT